TTTAGGCCTAGTTTGGCTACTGCCAAAAAAGTGCACTTATTTCATCTTTTTATCTTTTTTGGGTCACATCAATCAACATCTCCTCTCTACTTTTTCTACACATAATACAAAAAAAGTCAAAAAATGCACTTATTTAGTCTTCCCAAACTAGGCCTTAGTCATTTATTTGATAGAAAATTTAAGGCCTATTACATTTTCCTACTGAAAAGGTTTAGGAGAGAGATTTGAGTATAGAAATATGTGACTTTTCAATTAGTACTCAACTCAAAATGACAAATCATATAGACAGATTGACTCTTCAATATAATTTAGGATTTAAAATTTGAGATTTGAAAATTTAAGATTTAAGATTTAAGATTGTAGCGTATAGAGTTTGGTATAATCAACATTTTAAACCTCTCATTTCAAAAGGTTTCAATTCAAAAGAGGTTTTGAGTTAGAATTCAAAACACTTTAGTGTCTTGGCAACTTTAACATAATCAATAATATGTATAAGTACTGAACAACTAAGAATCTGTTAAATAGATTAATTTTTTTAGCGTTAAATTTTTATAGACTTGTTTTTAGTTAATAAATTAATTTTTTAGCACCCTTAAAAAAAAAGCCTTGGGCTAATAAGCCAGCGTGCCTAGTGTGCGCCCATCTCACTTCATTAGACTCTTCATTGCTCTCATGAGTGCTTTAAAAATATACTTATCGTCTAATTTTTTTTAAATAAATATAATAAAATAAAATAATTATAAATATAATTATCAGATTATGTTAATTTTTTTTTTTTATGAATTATATACATGAAGGGTTTTACAAAATAAACGGTTAAGATTATTGAAATAGGATTTGTGATGAGCTCTTAGATCCCTCAAATTATCCTAAACTGAGATTTGAACTTGAAAAATAGCCCAATCCATAATGTGAACACATGAGATAGTACATTAGGTATAATAAAATTATAAGGGTAAATTACACTCACCTTCCTTGATATTTAAAATATATATATATATATATATAATTAATTCCACACTTTTAACATTATTACACCAACCTCCCTTCTTGTATGGTAAAATGAAATGATAATATTATTTTTTTAATTTATACAACTAATAAATTACTGATAAAAAATAACTTAAATATTACATAATTTAAAATATTAAAAAAATTAATATAATTATATTAAAAATGTGAATCTAACTATATTTTCTTCCAACAGTCAAGTGAGTGTCATTTACTCAAACTATAAGGGTAGGTATTATTGAGAGGAAGCATCAGTGTCTTGATTAGCAGGCCAAGAAAGAGTCAACAACACACGCATTGGAAAAGAGGTACTAATAAAGTTTCATGATCAATAACCTTGTAATATGAAAATTGTTATGAATATAATTTGTCAAGAATGTGTTTGGTTTCGTTTGAAATGGGAGTTGATTTTTTAATTTTTTAATTATTTTAGTTTGCGGTTAAAAAGTTTGTTTGGGTTAAATTTTTTTATTTTTTATTTTTGTAAAAAAAAAAATAATTATGATTTGAATTAATTTTTTTAGTCTATTTTATTTTTTAGTAACTAAATTAGCCGCCAATCTAAAAAAAGTCCCGTGCCAAACGAGAGCTTTGTGTAATAGAGATTAAAAATTTATGAAGAGTGGATTCTATAAATAAAATAAATTTTAACTATTGATTTATTTTTTTAAATAAATTTTAAATTTATGAGTCTGAATTTATATTCTTATTGTTGTAATATTTTATTTCACAATTGACAGGTGAATTTAATAAAAAGTCCTTGTTCCACCAGTGCCCGAAGTTGTTCAAATGTCCATAGTTTTGACTTTTGGGGCATAGTTTGGATGAATTTTCCATTTGAAAAAGACTCCAGATGAATTAATGACACCCCTTAAAAATGATAGATCGCTACTTTCATGGGAAAAAACATAAAAGAATATATGGTGATTTTTTTTAGGGTCCTTCACATTAGGTTTTTATAGTATAAAAGATATTTAATATTTTCATAATGTGTAAAGCTTTTCATATATCGATTCAGAGAAATTTCAATTTAGAGAAAATTGAAATTTCTCTGATTTGCACAAATTTCTATGGTTTACAAATTTCGCTGATTTACAAATTTCTCTGATTTGCAAATCTCTTCAAGCTTTTTATTTCAGACACTGAAATTGAAATGTTTTCATTGGAGTTCAATAAAATAAAGCTGATTGTGGGGTTGTGCTTCACGGCGGTGGTGGCTATTGGGTTTTCTGGCGGTGGTGAAGATTGTGGTAGTGGTGGTTATGTTGAGGGCATGGACTTGGGTTGTTTTGCATCGTTTGACGAGGGATAGTGTATTAACGGAGAAGAGTTGAGAATTTTGATCTGGAAAGAGGGGGTTGTAGTAAAGGGTCTGATTGATCGGCATTTTGGGTTGAAATTGACATCAATGGAATTACTGGGTTGTGAATGGGATGGAAGAGATGATTGATTAGCTCTCTACTCTAAAAAAGCATCATTACAGAGAGAAGAGAGAGAACATGAGTGATGCAAGAGATGGGCTCTCTCTCGGCAATGGTACATGAGGAAACTCCACGATTTCTTCTTTGCTCCGATAGACGAAGGCGGTCGTAGAGAAGAATCAAACGACGGTAGAGGATTAGACAATAGCGGAGGTGGTGGAGCACGCTCTTAACTTCGACGATGGCCAAGTGCAGAACAAAGTTTGATTTGAGTAAATCAAATTTCTCTGTGATATATGGGTGTTGGCGGTTGAGGGACCTTAGACATTACAAGATAATATTGTGAATCTCTTCCATTATTAAAATGGGAGAGGGACCTTAAACTATTTTTTCCAAGAATGTTGGTATATATATAATTTAGAGTAAATTATAAATACATTTCTTAAAATTTGTTTAAAATATGAATTATTCTTTATAGTTTAGAAAATAAAAAATACCCTTTTAACAAATTTTTTATTTAACAAAATTAACTGAAAAAATAAAATTCTTAATTGCTCTCATATACAATAATATAATTACTTGAATTATTAATTTAAATAAATTTATGACATTATTAAAAACTGTTAATTGACTTGATGATTTATTAATAAAATAGATCATTTGTTATGAAATTAGAAATTTTAAAGATCGAGGTATAATTTTCAAAAGCATAAAAAATAAATCATATTATAAATAAATCTCAAAAAGTGTATTATAATTTATCCTAAATTTTACAAGTAAATTTATCAACATGATCTAAAAGCTAGTATCCACTTGATTCATAGATCATATCCTTGTCATTATAGTCATATTAATGACAATCTATTGGGCTGTCAACATTAATAAAATTTTATATAAGCAAAATACTACAAATTTACCCTTATTAATTTAGAATTTATCCAAAAAAAAAATCAATAATTTAGATTTAATTCATATGTTAATCCCACATTTTATCAATTTAATTTTCATTAGATAAGCACATTTGGAATAAATTACGGGTCGCCAAGGGTGGTCCCTAACATTTTTGTTTATATAATATATCTTATTGGGTTTGCTAATTTTCGGATATAGAACTGAACCAATATATATTGACAAGATTGAACAAACCCATGAAAAGAACTATGAAGGAGAAACCAAATTCATGTCTATTCCACAAATTCATTGAACGTAGCATGGATAACCCATGAAAACAAATTCATTTCTAAATCCATTCATATAATACTTTTCACACCCACTATATACATTATAATCTTTGTACCTCACAAATAAAACTGAGTGTATTCAGTATCCCGCCAAAAGTCACGGGTGTAACATGACTATGGCTGCAAACAGAAAAGCTAATATAAAAAATAAATTTATTTATTATTTTTTTTTTGGGACGAACCGATTGCTGTTGAGTACATGAATGAGGTCTGGAATGACAGAGCTCCATTGTTGCCCTCTGATTCTCACCAGAATGCTCAGCTAGGTTCTGGGCACTGTTTCACTACAAGAAAATACATTTTTGGCGACTACTTTTGGCTACCAAATGGCTTTTAGTCGCCAAAAGTTACGGAATTGGCTAATAAAAATAATATTAGTCGGCAAAAGTCAAATTTTTAGCTACCAATTTTTTTTTAGTCGGGGAATATTGATTATTGGTGACTAAAAAAAATTTAGTAGCTAAAAATATTACAATTTGCGACTAAAAGAAATTTGGTCGCCAAAAATGCCAGAAATTGGCGACAAAAAATAAATTTAGTCGCCGTAGGTAGAGATTTGGCTACTAAAACCTTTAGTCGGCAAATGTAAAATAAAAAATTAATTTTTATCTTTGGTGACCAAAATTTTGGTGGCCAAAAGTTGATTTTCAGCGACGGAAAATAATTTTAGTCGCCGTAGGTATAGATTTGGCTACTAAAACCTTTAGTCAGCAAATGTAAAATAAAAAATTAATTTTTATCTTTGGCGACCAAAATTTTGGTAGCCAAAAGATTGTTTTCAGCGACAAAATTGAATTTTAGTCGCCAAAGAAGTAAAATGTTTTGGAGGGAGACCTTTCAAATATTTAGAGGGATTTATAAAATACCTTTAGCGACCAATATCGATAGTCGCCAATAACCATTTATATAACACATCTCACGGTCTCACCAAACCAAACCCAACCCTAAACCATTAATAGCGCCTCTCTCTCTCTCTCTCTCCCTCTCTCTCCCTCTTCCTCTCCCTCTCCCTCTCCCTCACCGTCGCTCCTCCTCCCTCCACTCTCACCGGCACTCCTCATCGCGTTGGCCGACAACCAGAGCACCGATTCACCTCCTTGTTGGTCACCGTCGCCTGAGATCCTCTCTCTCCCTCTCGGCTCTATTTTTCTGTCTCACAAAAACCCATACAGCTTCACATACACGCACACACATGGGTTCTTCAAATAGGTAACAAGGTATGATTTCTAATGCATAATACTCTATTGGTTCATTCACTTTTTGCTCTAATTCTAGCTTTCCATTAATGGGTTCCATCAATTTTGTTGAAGAGCTGCCCTAAAGCTTCCAACAGCAAGATTTATCAGATCATTTCCCATGAATGAAATGTTACAGTGAGGGACTTTACGTCACTCAACCTGATTCATTGTAGGCTTGCAGTATTCCATGGTTAGGTTTAGTTTCTTCTTTATTAATGGATTTCTAATAATTTTCATTGCAGAGAGACAAAGTCGTGTTGCCATTGTTGTTAAGGCTACAGGTGAAAGCTCTGAATCTTCGACTTCTCTGAGTGTTGTTAAATCTGTACAAAATGTTGTGAGTCCCCCCTCTCTCTCTTCTCTCTCATAATTGTTTTATTGCCAATTGTTTTTAATAAAAAAAAATAGTGAAACTATTTGGAAAAGGTTGCAATTTGGGTCTATGATCTTGCACTTTCTGATTCAAGCTGAGTCTGTGAACCTCTGTTGTTATGAAGTAAAAAGGTTGCAATTTTCAATTCTTCTTTATTTGAATTTCTTTGATTATGATGATTACATAATTTGATGATTCTGAAACAAAGACTAGGTACAACTTGAAGATTTGTTGTGTGTTCCTCGAATTATGAACATACAAGGGCTTCTTGCATTTTTTTTACACATATTGTCACCAACCTTTTGATCCTTCAGTAAATTAATTGGGATGTGAAGTATTTTTGCTGTATCGTGAACTATTTATTTGATTGTTTCCATAAATAACTTTCCCCAATAATTTGTTTGATACCAGTGCAAACCACATTATCCAAGCAACCTTCCCTCCTTAGTGTCTATTTTATTCTTAGTTGGCTAAGCTATGTTGTGCACATATATCACTTTACCCTTGGATCTAAATGAATAAATTTGGGAGCTATAACAAATCAGCCATGTTGCTTTGTCCTACAATTTTTTGTTTTAGATAAGTGCCACACATAGCTATGTCTATAGACATGCGCTTGAAATACTTGCCTGAGTCCATACACCAGTTACATTGGCTTGTAAGGCCTCCTTGCCTGATTTTTTATTTTTATTTTTATTTTTATTTTTTGTTAGAACGCCTTTTTATCATTTTAATTGTCTCTGTTAGAATAACTTAAATTGTTGTTTTATGCTTAAGCATATCATCGTGCAGATAATCATTTATTGTCTTGCTTATGGTGTACTTAATTATTATTGTTGCTGAGATAACCAGAATCCAGGAGTTCCCCCTGTTGCAGCCTCAAAGCTTTCACCGCTTCCTCCTGAACCTGTTGACTATGATCGTGGTCCTACAGTTAATATCCCTCTTGATAATGGAAAGGTAGACTAAAGTTCAAAGGATGTTGAACCTGTTTCCTATTTTTTTGCATAGACATAGGCTTTGTTAATTTCATTATCCTCTGCTGCAATCTACAGGTGAATTGAGGAGGAGGGAGCAGGTACTTGTTTATACTAATTAAAATTGTAGCTTCCGAATATGTTCTATTTATAGATTATGCCTTTGTCATGGATTCCCTGAGGGTCTATCACAACCTTGTTCTATTTTTAGACACCTTAAAATTACCCTATGAGGCCTAAATATTACATTTTCTATTTTGTGCACTTTAGGCATAATTCATCTTTATGGGTAATCAGTTATCAACTTTGATGTTGAATGTGAAAACTACCTTCATGATTGTATGCTGCTTCTCCCAAAGACTTGTGTCACATACCCTCCCTTTGTGTGTGTGTGTGTGTGTCTGCGTGTTTTGGGGAGAGGCTTATAGTCATCTACATCAACTACCTTTCATGTTCAAATCATGGAATTCTGATGAAATTTCTTTGAATTTCCCAAATTTGAGGATTTTTTTTTTAACATTAATTTCCAAAATGACATCAGAAAATTGATATGAAATGGAAATTGGGATCTATTTGGGAATTTTCTATTATAAAATTGTCTGTTAACCCATTACAGGACTGATAGTGCATTGACGTTTGGGTGGTTTTTCTTGAGTTACGTGGTAAGCTTTTGCATCTTCTAGTTAGATTTGTTTTCAACATTAGCGTGCCATGTAGCTTTGTTTTAGAAACTTTCTTGATATTTTGAGGTATTTAATTTACCTAATCTTTGGTTTCATTTGTTCCACATCAGGTATTATGCCAAAAATATTACCGGAGATATCTATGAATTTGGGTGGATTAGTGAGATGTACGGTTATTCTTTTGGTGCAGCAAAGGTATGCGCTCACATTTCATTTACAAATTTCTTGAGCTCCCTTTGAAATGACTGATCATCTCCCTGTTTGGTTTCATTTTCAAAATCTTTTTCTTGGTGGATAAAATGAAAAATAAAAAACACTTATTATTTTCATATGGTTTTCTCGCTTCATGCTCCATTGTCTTTGATAATCTTTTCGTAGGCATTGAAGTTTGGCAACCAATAATCATTTGAATTAGTATCCCAAATCATTTGAATTAGTATAATCATTTAAGATACATGGTATACTGATTTCAAGGGTTGTTTACCATGCAGTATGTCACCCGCTATTCACGAAAATCCTTACGAGTCCTCGGTAGTGTAGGCGAGACTATAAATCCTAGTGCATGGAGGTTACAAGCTCTACTCTTGTTGCTGGATTACATTTTTTGAACACAAGAAGTATGACACGTTTTCTTTTTCATCTTAACAGGTGGTTTTTCAATATAGTTGGAGATTCAAGATGCCTCATATCTGACACTTGGTGGCAAACAAAGACAGGTGGCTTTATGGTAGGTTTTGTCCCTCACTTCTTCTCGGTATATCTGCTGGCTCTTGAAACAATTTGTTTTCTACATTTTACTATGTTCTAGAGTTGACAAAATATATATGGGGAACTACTGAACTCAATCACTTGCTGCAATGAAATTATATAACTACATGAAATCAACCTCTTATGTGTCAATTTCTAAATCATTTAGCTTCCTTGATTTGCCCTGTATATACAGATTTACATAATACAGGGTATATGTAGTCCTGTATAATGTATGAAATGAAAGGGGGATTTGGAAAGGTATTTGGAAATGAAAAGGAAAAAAGTGAATGTGTATCTTAATGGTTAAGTAGAGTAGAGTAGTAAATGTGTATCTTAATGGTTGAGTAGGAGACAAAATGAACCCCAATTTTCTCTTTTGTGTGGCCTCATTTGTGGAGAGCACCATATGCTGTGACTTTGTGAGGATTAATTGAATGCATTTTAATGGACTATGGAGAATCACTTCCTTCATAAATCAAAAAAGATATAAAGAAACAAGAAGTAAGCAAAAAATATATTTTTTTTTTGGTATGTAATGTGTTGATCTGCAAGTGCAATGTGCTGATCTATATGATTCGCTTCACTTTTTAATTTGCTGAAATTTTTCTCAAGTGAGACCATGTTACTGGATTTTGATGGCAGTAATCATCCTCTGCTCAATATATATTGCAGCACTACACTGCAGCTTGCGGAGGACAAAAGCTTCAGAATGCTGTTGTCAATGCTTATGCAATGGGTAAGGTGAGGATGTTAGCTTCTGATATCGAGACAGCCACAAAGGTCATATAGAGCAGGAATTCCTCCAAAGCTGCAGAGTTAGGTGGCTTTGTGCTCTAGCAGATGAATCCAGATATGTGGTATGTGGAGCTGGCTCTTGGTGGCAGCAAAATTCATGCTGGATATAACGGCAAGCTTGTTTGAAGGCACACACCGTGGCTATTTCAGCCAGAAAATTGGGCTCCTTGTACACCTTGAAGACTCCCATTTGACTTGCATCCAAAGCAATGGCACGGATGCTGTGTAGTTGGTTTTTCCTGTATTATGTATGAAGTTAAATTATTGACGTTGGATTAGACTTGGTTCTTATGGAATTTGTAATATATATATATATAATTGGACGTTCAATATTAATTTTTTGGATGGTTGGAACTAAAATGTGTGCACGTTGTTGAATGCTTGATAACATATTTAGCGTTGATGGATTATATTGTTGATATAGGGTACAGGTTGTATTAATAATGGATACAAGTTGTTTAGAAAAAAAAAATTAAAAAAAACACGTTAAAGTATTTGGCCGCCAAATATTTTGGTAGCTAAATAAGTTTGTCAAATGTTTTGGTGACTAAGAATTTAGTAGCAAAAACATAACCCAATGCACTTTTAGTGACTAACACTTTAGTCACCGAATGCACCTTTTGCCGACTAAATACAGTTTGGTAGCCAAATGTGTACTTTCGGCGACTAATTATTTAGTAGCTGAAGGTGACACCTTCCCCGACCACAACAACTTAGTAGCCAAAAAGCCTCATTCGGCGACTAAAGGTTTTAGTGGCGGAAACATAACATTTGCCGACTAGCCAAATGTAGTCACTTTCAGCGACCAAATGAAATTTAGTCGCCAATACTATCGCCGACAGGGTAAAAGCGACGAGCTTGGCGACAAAATATTTTAGTCGCTAAATTGTTTTAGCGACTAAATATTGGACTTTTGGCGACCAATATTTTGGTAGCCAAAAGTGACATTTCTTGTAGTGTTTGGGCCTACAGTGTCTATCACGGGTCTCGTTTTAACGATTCAAACGATTCATTTTATCAGACATTTTATGTATTTCATTCACACACAAAAAAAATTTAAGTCAATTTGATAATTATGGCCTATTCAATTTAACGTATTTGTTACCAAAAAAAAGATAACAATTATATTTTTAAAAATAAATCATTTATTTTTTAGTGGCAAACGCTATAAATTGAATATGTTATGATTATCAAATTGATTTAATTTTGTGTGAATGAAATATATGAAGTTCCCAACCAAACAAACAGTACAAATCATTAAAACGGGAGCGCAGGACTGTTGGCTACATATTTTGTGCAAGCCAATTACAATTCGACGCGTGGCAAAATAAGGATAATATAGGAAGATTATTCAAGTCTTCGATCCTGATCGTACACGTGGCAGTTAGTATTGGTTATTACGAGATCTGAGTAGCAGTGGATCAACAAAGAGATACAAAGTGATGTGGCATCAACGGTTACTCACATTTAAATTCAAATTTAGGAGGGAAGCCTAACTGCAAGTAATGGCGTAATGGAGCTAATCTTGAGGCAACATGATCAGCAATCATGGAGGAGCAGTTCGATGGTTGGAAGAGCAGTTCGATGGTCATCCTCGAGTAGTATAAATAGCAGAGAAGGCCCCAAAAAAAGCCCCCAGACTTAGATCCAAAAAACCAGTCTTATTCTACTTTACTTAGTTTTCTTACCAGTTTTACATTTCATGTTCTTTACATTTCCTGTTCTTTACATTCCTGTACTTTAAATTCCTGCACTGCACTTCGTTTATAGGAGTAGTTTCAAGTAGATTGTCGCTGTAAACCTCTACGAGGCTGAGTTTGGATCATTGTAAGTTTTTTCATTCTAATGAAATGCTTCAGTTGTTCTTCATTTGATTGATATTTTGCTTAATTCTCCTAAATCAAGCCACTAATAAAAGTCCTCTTCATTGAGGCTGAGAGAACTAAAACACAGTTGTCTGATAATTGGTTGGCAATTAAAATTCTGTAAGGACTGATTGATCCTTGTTGGCACGCTCACAATTACAAAAATAACCTTCGAAAGCCAAAAAGCCAACATATATTTTTGGCACGCCCAGTGGGACTAATTGAAATGGCTAGACATAGGAGACAAGGAGAAAATGAACGCTTGGAAGAAGGCGTGGAAGGAGAGGTAGAGGTACCTAATCCGGAGGATAATGTGATAACACATCCTGTGGAAACTCCTATTTTATCAGAACCTATGGTCGAACAGACCAGCACTTCAGAACAAGTACCACATGTTCATAATATTGGACGAGACCAAGGAATTGGACCATCCACTGTCCCATCTACTCAGCCAATAAATCCATGGGGTGGCCTAGTAGATGTTGTGGGACAGCAATTAATGAATACAATGGAAAGGTGGGCAACATCCTTTTTGGATCGAATGAATAACCACCAACTAACAAACGTAAGACATATGGAGGAAGTTTCGAATGTCCCTCAGCAAAGATTGGCTAGAGATAAATAGCTTATGCAAGTTAATGGACATTCTAATGGTCAAACTAGTAATTAGAACTATGAAAGACCATCACCTCAGTCTTGGTACGAACCTATTCCGAGACCTATAGCAAGTCAGAATGCCTCAGTACTTAACAGTGAAGCCATGCAATTTGGTGGATCTGGCCCAGTACAAGAAAATGGCGTAAAAATGGTTCCAAATCCCATGTTCGAAGCCATACCTGGCACAAGGGGGTTCACTAATCCCTTATTCGAATTTATACCCGGGGGGTTGGAAGCTTTTCCTACAAATGGAAGAGACACAACACCAGTTCCAGCACTTTTCGCAGGACAGGCTCAAATGGGTTACCCACACCCCCAGCAACAACCTGTACTACAGGGACAACCAGTCCCAAATATACCACCTTATAGACCAAGAGGACCACAGGCACAAGTTTGCCCACCAAATCCTGTGTTTGCTCCTCCAATAGTGGTTTAGCAGGCACAAAATATGGTCCCTAGGGACCAAATTGCTGGCATTGTTAGAGAGATGTGTGGACCAATGGCTCGGGGGGTCCAGACTCCAGTGTACAGGAAACCATACCCAGAATGGGTGGACAGGGTACATGAATACCCAAGAGGTTTCAGGATACCAGATTTTGCCCTTTTTTATGGGAATGGAAACCAATCAACAGTGGAGCATATTCCTAGGTTTGCTGCTCAATGCGGCGAATTCATTAATAATGACTATATGAAGTTGAGACTATTCCCAAACTCTCTAACTGTGAGAGCATTTGTATGGTACATTAACCTTACACCTGGCTCCATCCAAACTTGGCAACAAATGGAAGAGGCATTTCATACCCAATTCTTCCAATCGGAGCCAGAGATTTCCATGGCAGACTTGGCAAGATTGAGTCAAAGGCCTGAAGAGAAGGCTACTCAGTTTGTTGCCAGATTGAAAAGGGCTCGAAATAAATGTAGAGTCATCTTGCCAGAGCCAGAATTCGCAAGATTGACTTAGAATGGCTTAGAGTTTAGGCTTCAAAAGAAGTTTGACTCAACTAAGTTCAGAGACTTAATAGAACTGACTTATAAGGTATCTAGGTATGAAGCATTACTAGAAGAGGAACAAGATCGAAATAATGCATCATACAAGACATACTATAGAGATCCTAACTATGAGATTGATGCGGCAGAGATTGTGGGGAAAGAACCTGTGATCTGTGAGGCATTAGTTCATAAGGATACAACAATTGACCAGCAGTTTAAAAAGAAAGACTTTCATAAGAAATACTCTTTCGATTTAACTAAGGCAGATGACATTTTTGATCATTTGCTTGCGGCCAACTTCCTTAAGTTACCAAAAGGAGTAAAAATTTCATCTCCAGATGAACTTAAAGGAAAAGCATATTGTAAATGGCATAACTCTTGGTCTCACCCAACTAAAAACTGCATTGTTTTTCGAGACATGATCCAAGAACAAATTCGAAAAGGAAGTTTGAAATTCCCAGCCAAAGAAGAAAAGGCCATGGGGATCGGCAGCAATCCATTTCCAGAAGTTGGAGAGGTGGCAGCCAATGTCATTATGTCAGACTTCCAGAACTTGTCCTTAAAAGAATTGGAAGAAGTCAATGTGCAGGTACATGTTGTCAACTAGACAACCATCAAGAAGGACACTAGAAATCTGCCAGCTATTGGACAAGGTTTCCCACACCAGAGGGAAGACTCTGATGAAGAAGCACTGGATGACAATTCTTTAGAGGCAGCTGTAATGCAAATGATGTGTCCCAGGTGCAAACTGAGCTACAAATGGTTGAAAGGGCTTCCAGTTGATGGGAAACAATATTACAAGGATGTGTAGAGATGTCCTAAACCAACCAATGCTTATAACAAAAGGCCATATCCATCTGGTGTCAGGCAGCAGCCATTGGTGGTTGAACCAAGAATCGATGGAATGTACGCTAAAGGCAAGAGGCCTTTATATGAGTCCAGGCCACCTAATTATTACAGAATGAAGAGTAGTCATTCTGAAAGAAGACTGGAGAAGAGTTCAGGTTATGGGATCAAAGCCAGAGATTGGCCCCTTAGACCAGCCTCACGCAGGACAGAAAGTGGCCACCTTCATCGAAGGCCTGAACCAGGCTCAAAACCTGAAGTCAAGGCCAAGCAGTTACCTTCACAGCCAGCTTCGAAGATGGCTTCGAAGGACGAAAAGGGCAGTTCAACATCTGGGTCAGTTAGTTCGTGGGTACCTGGAGTTCCAGATTGGTTTGTGATGCAGAACAAACCTAGGGAAGTGCCTACCCAAAGAGATATTGGAAACCAAGGTAGGATGGTCAAGCCTCCTTTGGTAGCCCCAAACAATTGGGTATTTCTTAAACACCTAAAGACAAAGGAACCAGATATGGTCCCAGTCATTTCAAGATCACAAAGGAGAAAGATTCAGCGTAGGTACACTCAGTACCAGAAAGACATGAAAGAGAGTGGAGAGAGTTCTTCATTGGTACAGACAGAGGGGAAGAAGAATTCAAAGTCAGACCATACTCCAAAACCAACTCTACAAGGCAAAATAGGTTGCAGCAGAGAACAGTTGGCCAAAGTTCACTCTGAACTAAAAGCCAGAGAGAAGTCCAGTTTAGCAGGATTAGAGAAGGCATTGATAGAGAGTGACAACGAGGAAGAGAAAGAAGTTGGCTTAGGCCAAAAGAAAGAAATGGTTGAAGAAGAAATGTTCGAAGCCTTCATGGCTGAACAAATATTTTTGGTTGAAAAACCAGTCAGAAAAGATCATTTGAAGGAGCTCATTAGTAATGCTATACCAGAATGCAGCATGGAGGATGCTTCCGCAGTCACTGAACAAGATGGCCAAAAGGAGAAACAGGCACAGCCAGCCATCCAA